CGTTCCTTACAGGTACTTTTTCTCCCTCCTTTGATTTTAGCTTCATGAACGCAATCCATACAATTAATTTCATTTGAATTCATAATGGATAATGGTTTTTTGAAAAGCATATAATAATTAGAACTAATAGAGAAGTTATAGAAAAGGCTCACACAAGTTTTCAATTCGATTTGTTTATCTGAATTCTTAAATAGAACCCCTTTCTTTCTCTTTCACTATTCCCAATTAGATCCCCGGCTTTGGTTACTTGGCCAGGATAGAACTAGCTGGGGCTTAGAAAACAGCCCGAAAGCTCCTTGTAATGGATGCCGGTGTATTGTTTTGGTGGGCTCACGGCGCACTTTCCTTAAATTCCCTTTATCGTCCTTGCTTTGTTTTTTTTTTCCACCAAACCATAACCCATATACTTCTTGACAATGTGGTGTGCTTGATTTGAAGTTTAAAAGATTCTGTGGTACTCACTATTGAACTTATGGTAAGGTGGTGACTACAATAAATGGGCATTAAAGCCAGGAGAAAAGGTGCAAAACCTTAATCCCAATTATTTAGGGTCGGAAAGAGGTAGAAATGTATTATTATAATGGAAGGGGGGAAATTTGAGGGTGGTTTGATTAATCGGAAAAAAGATTCTGGAAGGGGGTGATCAATGATTCCTAGTAGTTGCCTTTTTTCCTACAGATTACCATGCTATATGAGGCCTAAACTGGGGAAAACAAGTGGTTGTACTCGGTTATAACTGGCTCTTGATCTGTTACCTACCTAGAACTAATTGTGAAGTTCTGGCACCATGAAGGTGGTGGAGTTCAGGAGATGGGCGTTGCACATTCAAAATCACGCGGCCAAGCTACATGATCAAGATGATGTAGCTTAGAAGCTTCATCGACTAGAGGAATGGGTGACAACCATTCCAAGCCACACAATTTTGAACGTGCAGTCCAGATCTCCTGAACTTCACGCACTTCACGGTGTCATTAAGTCGTAACTTTAGAGGATCTGGGTGCCAGTTGTTAAAACTGGTAGACCATTACTTGTTTGTGATTATTTTAACTTTAAGAAAAGAGGATCTCAGGGCCTACTCTTAAATTCCTTTCATATTCACACAACTCATCACTTTGCCCCATTTATTTGTGGTCTATTCACATGCACCATGAATATACCAAACAAAAGGACCTCTCCATTTCTTGTACATATATATCTTAAGCCACTAGAGTTCTACGGTTTGGATCATGATGTCAACGCTATGATTGGTGTCAATGTCATGTCCTTAGTGTAGAGAATGTCAGCTCTTGGACCACATGGCCCTAATGAATTGATTATCATATAAATTCAAACCTCTTGACCTATTAGATTACACTTGGGTGTTGGAATAGCTGGCCTGGACAAGTGACAACCCAGCTGAGTTTCTATGTCTAATGTTCACCTAGAATTCCTCTAATTCTTAAAGTTCATTGTTGTCAAACATTTCTGTTTGTTTTCTTATCCCAGCTCTGCTCATCCTTTTTGTACAGACTAATAGTTTTAGATTGATCACCCATAATGAGTTGTGGTAATTTTCTATACGAGCAGCTACACAGCTTGAGCCTAACAAAATAAGGACACAAAGATGATATAATCAATTAATAGAATAACGATGGATTGTGGTAGCATCAAACCAAGTAATCCAATTTTGGACCCAATGAGTCTATTTAATTGGTATCATATAAAGAAAGTCTTTTAATTTCTTGATCATCATTGTTTGAATTATATGGTTATGATTTATTTCTGCTATGATGCCGATCAAGCATAATTTTAGTTTATAAGGGACATATGTGTGGTGGATTTATTCGAGGGAATCTCAGTCTTCATGTTTGTGGTTTTGTGGGATGTTTGTGACAACCCAAACACAACGTAAACTCAAAGTGATACGAACTGAATTAAGAAATTATCTGTTTCGAAATTCAACACAAGTTGACTGAGTACCTACCTTTTTGCTCATAATTAGGTCACATTTTTTTTTTTTGGATCTTGCTAATTAAATCACATAAACAGGGTCTTGATCCAAGGTCCACTGCCATTTTATTTTCCAATTCCATCTGCATCGGTGAGAAGACTATCAACAACGAAGACTGCTTTGCACTGAAGCTTGAAGCTGAGTCCTCAACACTGAGAGCAAGAAGCAGCAGCAATGCTGAGATACTGAGACACACTGTTTGGGGCTACTTCAGTCAAAGAACAGGCCTCTTGGTGAAACTTGAAGACACTCACCTCATTAATATCAAAGTCCCTGGAAATAACAGTGTCTTCTGGGAGACGACCATGGAGTCATTAATACAGGATTATCGGATCCTCGATGGCATTAACATCGCACATGCTGGTAGTACGTCTGTTTCATTAGTGAGGTCTGGTGAGAATTCAGAAAGCCATTCCAGTACGCAAATGGAAGAGGATTGGACGATTGAAGAAGTGGACTTTAACATCAAGGGACTGTCGATGGATTGTTTCTTGCCTCCTGGGGACTTGAAGAAAGAGGAAGAGGGATGTGGTGCTGTGAACAGCAATGTTACAACGAGCAATGCCCGACTACCATTCAAGGTTAGAGCCACTTCGTCGAGGCTTGGTGTTGCAAAGGTTGTGGCTGTTGAAGAAGATGATTTGGAGGACATTGAAGGGGCAAAAGAATTGTAAATCTAGAAAATTCAATCTGTTCTCATTTTTGTAAATATAGTTCAAGGATCAAGGATCGAGTCTGAATTGATTTGCTGAGTTAATTTTTCTCATAAATTGACTTCGTGAAGGTAATGTTAATACATGTGAGGCAAATAAGCTTTCCTGTCCATAGTAACAAGTGAACAGATATATTGAGTTCTCCCTCCTTCCCTTTTCTAGCATGGATTTTTAAGAAATATATATTTTTTTTTTAGTTATAGGGTGTTCAAACTTGTAATAACTATTTCTTTGAACTCAAATATTAACTACTGTAACTCGAGCGAGTTTAGAACATGTTCCTTTAGGAACAAAGATCACTAGCTCTTAAAAACATGAGAAGTGTTGAACAAGAGGCTTTTGAATTATCAGAGGCCAGACTTACTTAATCTCTGAATCACCTATAAGGATTTTTAACCAATGTACTTGAAAATATAGTGTGAGTATTATTTGTCCAAGCCAAACTTAAGTCGNATTTGAATATACTTATATCTGATTCAATTATGATTCAATCTGAATTATTTATATTTTTATATAAATATTAAAAAAATTAAGTGATTATTTTAAAAAAATTAGTTGAAATGTAGGTATAATTTGTTAAAATTTAGTTAATTAAATTATTTGGATCAAATCAAATTTCAAATTGTTAAACAAATTCGAATATAAACTACGAAAATAAAATTCGTTGANTCAAAGTGGAGGTAGAAGTTTTTAATCAAATTTATATCAATCAACCAAGTATTTAAAAACTGGGGCTTGCACCGTGACGGATTCGGACTAGTTCTTGAGCCGCTGTCTANTATTTGGATCGAATCAGATTTCAAATTGTTAAACAAATTCGAATATAAACTACGAAAATAAAATTCGTTGAATTATCAGATTGGACTTTTAGAATCAAATTAGTCAAAATTCGATCCAAAACCGATCTGTTGATAGACACCTACATGCTAGTTTTCTTGTCCCTCTTTACCCCCTATATTTGAAAAAAATATTAGGTATAACTATTACACCATGTTAGCAGTATTATATAGTGTAACTATCCATTAATAAGTAAACAAGTTTACAAGTGCGTCTTACAAAAATTCATAATCATCTAATCATATAATACATAATTACCATTNGAATTATCAGATTGGACTTTTAGAATCAAATTAGTCAAAATTCGATCCAAAACCGATATGTTGATAGACACCTACATGCTAGTTTTCTTGTCCCTCTTTACCCCCTATATTTGAAAAAAAATATTAGGTATAACTATTACATGTTAGCAAGTATTATATAGTGTAACTATCCATTAATAAGTAAACAAGTTTACAAGTGCGTCTTACAAAAATTCATAATCATCTAGTCATATAATACATAATTACCATCNCAGGTCGGGTCAAAACCAAATCGTAAGTTTTTTAATTATTAATTGTGAAATTGTACCCTAAGGGGCTGTTTGTTTTGAATATTAGATTTGGGTGGTATTAGAAATCATTTTCATTGCACTCCTATCCAATGATATATTATATCTAGTTTTAAACTATAATCTCATCGTTCTTCTTGTTTGTTTATCACAAATATTATCTGTGTAATACCTATTTAAAAAAGTCAACAATTGTNAACAAGTTTACAAGTGCGTCTTACAAAAATTCATAATCATCTAGTCATATAATACATAATTACCATCATGATAGGAAATGAGTTCCATTTTATCTATTTTGTAATTTTTTTATTGAATGATTACACCACACTAACATTGTTAATATGATTTAACCATTGCACCCAATAATTTCTCCTATATTTGATTTTGACGGTAGACAAATTCGTATAGGTATATTTTAAGGGTAATGTTATGCTTATTAAAAATTTTTACCAAATTTTTATTCTAAAAGATGTGACATAATTTTTTATGATCAGATAAATAGGTCTCATTANCACACTAACATTGTTAATATGATTTAACCATTGCACCCAATAATTTCTCCTATATTTTACTTTGACGGTAGACAAATTCGTATAGGTATATTTTAAGGGTAATGTTATGCTTATTAACATTTTTTACCAAAATTTTATTCTAAAAGATGTGACATAATTTTTTACGATCAGATAAATAGGTCTCATTGACATTCAGTAATATAAATTATGCCACATCATTATTTGAGATGAAAAATTTAATATAAAAAATTGGTAAACATTAACATTTTTCATATTTCAATCTCCTCCCATGAGCTTCAACACATTGGATCAACACTCAATTGTAGTTAATATTCAGCCCATGAAATAGACAAATAGAAAATATATTTTTTTCCCCACAGAGGGGGGAGAGAGGGAGAGGCGTGCGGCCACGACATAGACAAAGAATTGCACGTTGGGACGGCCCACCGGTCGGGTGGCCATGTTCTTTTACCTTACCAGCTTCAAGACTATCCCTTTGAATCTAAGACTCTATCCCCCTTCAGAACTCAAAAGTCACTCCCTCCTCCAAAATGACAACCAAATGCCCATAACCTTCCATCTTCCAAGCTTTCTCTGCCAAACTTCTCTTCTTTATCTTTCTCTCTCTAAATTCTCCTCTCTTTCTGTATCATATGAGGACGCTGTGCCCCAACTTGGACCGAGAAGATGGGCTCGAGACCGTACTTGAAGTCCCAATCCCAGAAGAGGTGTTCTCTTTCAACAAGAACTGGTCATGGCAGAACATGAAATCATGGATGAAATCACACACAGAAAGATCACCACCGTCTCGAAACACAGAGATTCAACTACTGCTTGGCGTCGTTGGTGCGCCACTCATCCCTTTTCCCATCCGCTGTGATCAACCCATCAACAACAACATCAAAGACTACACCATAGTAAGTCATGTGACATGCCCCTCTTAGCGTCATTTTTTCAAACACATGGAGTCCCTAATGAATTATGATTTTGCAGGAGGCTTCAATGGCGAAATATATAGTGCAGCAGTACATAGCAGCGACGGGGGGAGAGAAGGCGTTGAACTCCATTGATAGCATGTACGCAATGGGGAAGGTGAAGATGACGGCGTCGGAGTTCGTCGCCGATGAGAGTTTAGGTTTAGGTTGTAACGGATTGAGTAACAGCAAGGTGATGAAGATGAAGAGTGTGAGAAATGGGGGAGGAGAGGTGGGTGGGTTCTTGTTGTGGCAAAAGAGGCCTGATTTGTGGTGTTTGGAACTGGTGGTTTCTGGGTGTAAGATCAGTGCTGGTAGTGATGGTAAGGTGGCTTGGAGGCAGACTCCATGGCACCATTCCCATGCTTCTCGTGGTCCTCCTAGGCCACTTCGTCGTTCCTTACAGGTACTTTTTCTCCCTCCTTTGATTTTAGCTTCATGAACGCAATCCATACAATTAATTTCATTTGAATTCATAATGGATAATGGTTTTTTGAAAAGCATATAATAATTAGAACTAATAGAGAAGTTATAGAAAAGGCTCACACAAGTTTTCAATTCGATTTGTTTATCTGAATTCTTAAATAGAACCCCTTTCTTTCTCTTTCACTATTCCCAATTAGATCCCCGGCTTTGGTTACTTGGCCAGGATAGAACTAGCTGGGGCTTAGAAAACAGCCCGAAAGCTCCTTGTAATGGATGCCGGTGTATTGTTTTGGTGGGCTCACGGCGCACTTTCCTTAAATTCCCTTTATCGTCCTTGCTTTGTTTTTTTTTTCCACCAAACCATAACCCATATACTTCTTGACAATGTGGTGTGCTTGATTTGAAGTTTAAAAGATTCTGTGGTACTCACTATTGAACTTATGGTAAGGTGGTGAGTACAATAAATGGGCATTAAAGCCAGGAGAAAAGGTGCAAAACCTTAATCCCAATTATTTAGGGTCGGAAAGAGGTAGAAATGTATTATTATAATGGAAGGGGGGAAATTTGAGGGTGGTTTGATTAATCGGAAAAAAGATTCTGGAAGGGGGTGATCAATGATTCCTAGTAGTTGCCTTTTTTCCTACAGATTACCATGCTATATGAGGCCTAAACTGGGGAAAACAAGTGGTTGTACTCGGTTATAACTGGCTCTTGATCTGTTACCTACCTAGAACTAATTGTGAAGTTCTGGCACCATGAAGGTGGTGGAGTTCAGGAGATGGGCGTTGCACATTCAAAATCACGCGGCCAAGCTACATGATCAAGATGATGTAGCTTAGAAGCTTCATCGACTAGAGGAATGGGTGACAACCATTCCAAGCCACACAATTTTGAACGTGCAGTCCAGATCTCCTGAACTTCACGCACTTCACGGTGTCATTAAGTCGTAACTTTAGAGGATCTGGGTGCCAGTTGTTAAAACTGGTAGACCATTACTTGTTTGTGATTATTTTAACTTTAAGAAAAGAGGATCTCAGGGCCTACTCTTAAATTCCTTTCATATTCACACAACTCATCACTTTGCCCCATTTATTTGTGGTCTATTCACATGCACCATGAATATACCAAACAAAAGGACCTCTCCATTTCTTGTACATATATATCTTAAGCCACTAGAGTTCTACGGTTTGGATCATGATGTCAACGCTATGATTGGTGTCAATGTCATGTCCTTAGTGTAGAGAATGTCAGCTCTTGGACCACATGGCCCTAATGAATTGATTATCATATAAATTCAAACCTCTTGACCTATTAGATTACACTTGGGTGTTGGAATAGCTGGCCTGGACAAGTGACAACCCAGCTGAGTTTCTATGTCTAATGTTCACCTAGAATTCCTCTAATTCTTAAAGTTCATTGTTGTCAAACATTTCTGTTTGTTTTCTTATCCCAGCTCTGCTCATCCTTTTTGTACAGACTAATAGTTTTAGATTGATCACCCATAATGAGTTGTGGTAATTTTCTATACGAGCAGCTACACAGCTTGAGCCTAACAAAATAAGGACACAAAGATGATATAATCAATTAATAGAATAACGATGGATTGTGGTAGCATCAAACCAAGTAATCCAATTTTGGACCCAATGAGTCTATTTAATTGGTATCATATAAAGAAAGTCTTTTAATTTCTTGATCATCATTGTTTGAATTATATGGTTATGATTTATTTCTGCTATGATGCCGATCAAGCATAATTTTAGTTTATAAGGGACATATGTGTGGTGGATTTATTCGAGGGAATCTCAGTCTTCATGTTTGTGGTTTTGTGGGATGTTTGTGACAACCCAAACACAACGTAAACTCAAAGTGATACGAACTGAATTAAGAAATTATCTGTTTCGAAATTCAACACAAGTTGACTGAGTACCTACCTTTTTGCTCATAATTAGGTCACATTTTTTTTTTTTGGATCTTGCTAATTAAATCACATAAACAGGGTCTTGATCCAAGGTCCACTGCCATTTTATTTTCCAATTCCATCTGCATCGGTGAGAAGACTATCAACAACGAAGACTGCTTTGCACTGAAGCTTGAAGCTGAGTCCTCAACACTGAGAGCAAGAAGCAGCAGCAATGCTGAGATACTGAGACACACTGTTTGGGGCTACTTCAGTCAAAGAACAGGCCTCTTGGTGAAACTTGAAGACACTCACCTCATTAATATCAAAGTCCCTGGAAATAACAGTGTCTTCTGGGAGACGACCATGGAGTCATTAATACAGGATTATCGGATCCTCGATGGCATTAACATCGCACATGCTGGTAGTACGTCTGTTTCATTAGTGAGGTCTGGTGAGAATTCAGAAAGCCATTCCAGTACGCAAATGGAAGAGGATTGGACGATTGAAGAAGTGGACTTTAACATCAAGGGACTGTCGATGGATTGTTTCTTGCCTCCTGGGGACTTGAAGAAAGAGGAAGAGGGATGTGGTGCTGTGAACAGCAATGTTACAACGAGCAATGCCCGACTACCATTCAAGGTTAGAGCCACTTCGTCGAGGCTTGGTGTTGCAAAGGTTGTGGCTGTTGAAGAAGATGATTTGGAGGACATTGAAGGGGCAAAAGAATTGTAAATCTAGAATATTCAATCTGTTCTCATTTTTGTAAATATAGTTCAAGGATCAAGGATCGAGTCTGAATTGATTTGCTGAGTTAATTTTTCTCATAAATTGACTTCGTGAAGGTAATGTTAATGCATGTGAGGCAAATAACCTTTCCTGTACATAGCAACAAGTGAACAGATATATATTGAGTTCTCCCTCCTTCCCTTTTTCTAGCATGTATTTTTAAGAAATATACTTTTTTTTTTAGTTACAGGGTGTTCAAACTTGTAATAACTATTTCTTTGAACTCAAATATTGACTACTGTAACTCGAGCAAGTTTAGAATATGTTCCTTCAGGAACAGAGATCACTAGCTCTTAAAAATATGAGAAGTGCTGAACAAGAGATTTTTGAATTATTAGAGGCCAGACTTAATCTCTGAATCACCTATAAGGATTTTTAACCAATGTACTTGAAAATATAGTGTAAGTATTATTTGTCCATGCCAAACTTAAGTCGGTCAGCGAATCAGATAGATAAAATCAATTGTAATCCAAATCAAAGTGGAGGTAGAAGTTTTTAATCAAATTTATATCAATCAACCAAGTATTTAAACATGGGGCTTGCACCGTGACGGATTCCGGCTAGTTCTTGAGCCGCTGTCTGGCCCATGGTCCACAATTATTGCTGGTTACCAGATTATTGGGGCAGGTCGGGTCAAAACCAAATCGTAAGTTTTTTAATTATTAATTGTGAAATTGTACCATAAGGGGCTGTTTGTTTTGAATACTAGATTTGGGTGGTATTAGAAATCATTTTTATTCCACTCCTATCTAATGATATATTATATCTAGTCTTAAACTATAATCCCATCGTTCTTTTTGTTTGTTTGTCACAAATATTATCTGTGTAATACCTATTTAAAAAAGTCAACAATTGCAACTATGGGTGATAAAAAGACAATTATAACTTTGTAACCTTAAAAAGATAATTATACATGAGGACATTTGTGTCATTTTAGTCTCTTATACCGTCCTTTTATTTGTACCGGGAAGATAATACCACCTAGTAGGTGATATTCAATAATATCGTATACAAGACATTTAAGTCACTGTTCATGTCGGGTCGGTATTACGATATGAAAAATAGTACCAATGATAAAATGTCAAACAAACAAGGTATAAGGTGGGCCTTACGTACTATTTTCTTAATACCACCCATTTGTACCACTCTAATACTTCAAACAAACAGCCCCTAAGAATGCTAATTTATGATTTAAGTTTATAACTTACTTCTTATATAATTTATGAATTATAAACTAAAACTTATAACTAAAACATGAAAACTTGCGGGTTGGCAGGCGGGTACAGCGGGTGGAACCTTTAGTCAGCCTGCGGGCTGGAGTCAGCAGCGTGGCTCATGCCTTGGCTACTCGGGCTTTGTGGTGGGATGGCCAGTTTTCAGGTGAGGCCTTGCGTTGGGCTTATTTTACAGGATGAGCATTGGGCCGGGCCCACCAATTGACACCCTTATCTAAAATTGCTTGAATTTTTCACAGTTGTGTTCTCAAACAAAGATTTTTATCCACTCGTCCTCAAGGTGAGCCATAACTGCAAAGAAGCCATACAGAATGAGCAGATTATTGCCACAATGACATGGTTTCAAAAACAAATGGGCGAATTGGTTCAAGTTTTTGTTCCAAAAAATAAAAAAAAATTGGTGCAAGTTTGCTTAAATGGTTGCCGCAAGCTAGACAATCATGCAAGAAAATATTTAATATAATGGTTACACCACCACGTCATTGTGTCAGAATTGTATTGAATATTTATTCACCGTAAGTAGGTTTATAATTTTTGACGGTCTCTTTGAATAAATTCAGCAAAGTATCGTCCTTTATGGCAATTAAACAGAATCAGAATAAAAGCGTCACCAAGTGTTCGTGAGCCTAGAACGTTCTGGAGTCAGAACCCTCTGGAAATCCAAAACTCCTTATAACGACCGCCCCGCCCAAAACCTCCCTCATTGTCAAAATACTCGGAAAACAAATTGACTTATTTTTCAACAATTTTCTCTAATTTTCTACTCAGCCAAACACTCCCTAAATGTCTCTGATCCCAAACTTCTTCGGCCGTCGACCCAACACCTTCGACCCTTTCCCTCTCGACGTGTTCGATTCGTTCGAGAACTGGCCATTCCGTTCTGTCTCCAACTTCCCCTCCTCCTTTTCTGAAACGTCGTCGTTCGCGCACGCGAACATCGACTGGAAGGAGACTCCGACGGCGCACGTGATCAAGGCCGACTTGCCGGGGCTGAAGAAAGAGGAGGTGAAAGTGGAGGTAGAGGACGATAGGGTTTTACAGATCAGTGGAGAGAGAAGAAAGGATTTGGAAGAGAAGGGAGACACGTGGCACCGCGTGGAGAGGAGTTCTGGAAAGTTCGTTAGGAAGTTCAGGCTTCCGGAGAATGCGAAGGTGGAGCAGATCAAGGCGGCTATGGAGAATGGGGTATTGACTGTTACTGTGCCCAAAGAGGAGGTCAAGAAGCCTGACGTCAAATCGATTGAGATCTCTGGTTGATTGATCTACTAATTTCCTGGTATTATTAAGTCTTCTGTTTGCGTTTCTCTGCTAGTTGCGTGTGTTAGGGTTAGGTTTTGGTGGTGTTCTTCATCTTGTAAGTGTTTACACCTTGCTATGTGAGTGGATGATTTGGTGGGTTTTGATCTGGAAATCATTTGGGTGTATTTTGATATGTAAATGCTTAACGGGTATATAATAGATGTTACGATTTTGGGTACTGAACTTGATTTTCGAGTGAACTTTCTTGGTGATATTTTCTTCAATTTCTGAATGTTGGTCGGGAATGTTGAATGTGGATGTTAGGTTTTTTAGTTTAAATGTTAAATGATGTAGACCGCATAATTGATAATTGGCTTAGATATTGAACGATGAGCTTGAGTTGGAAGCTGGAACATTCAGGACATTGCACTATGAATTCTGTTCTTTGGATGTGGTTGAAAATTCGGGACATTTTGTCATTATTGAATTGATCGATCGTGCGTCCTTACAAATACTTGTGTTTATAAATTAAATTCAACTAATATTATTCTTAAATTTTCCGTTGTTGTCGGACATCCAAACCGGTTCGATGAACCATCATCGGTTGCCCAAAATGTGTGAACAATAAGAATAATGCTGTGAATATCAAACTTTTTGAGAGATATTAAATGATGTGGGATAATGAAAGTCATCAGGCTGATTTGTGAAAATTAGAGGGATTCACTAATCAACCCGATCACCTACATTAATTTGGTATGAGAAAATTTTAATAAAAGATGTGGTAAATGTAACATTGTTTGAAAAATAAACGGTTGGTAGAAATCTAATAAATCAAGCTAGACTTAGATTAATCTCACTTAAGATTGGACAATTCCTTGATTTGTGTCTGTTATTCTTATGCAACCTTCTTTATATTCGTAGCAATTCATCTTAATATGTTTGCAATTTCAACATCTGAAACCGAGACGGTCTAATTTTTCTACTGGAGACATTCGAGTAACATGAACAGTGCATGTGAAAGATGAATTACTCGATATTCCTCGGTGCAAAATGTGGATGGAAAATCTGCTTTATGGTTTTTCAGTGATGGTCGTAATTTGCTGCCTAATGAGAAATTGCAATGTAATTGCAGAGATGCCACTAAAATAAGGATTGCTTCATTGGAAAGCTCAGGTACAAGCACGGCATTCCATTCAATTTTTTTTTTGATTCACTAGCTAGTACTCCTTTGAGGAAAAAGATTATACTTTATTCCCCAGNATTAGATCCCCGGCTTTGGTTACTTGGCCAGGATAGAACTAGCTGGGGCTTAGAAAACAGCCCGAAAGCTCCTTGTAATGGATGCCGGTGTATTGTTTTGGTGGGCTCACGGCGCACTTTCCTTAAATTCCCTTTATCGTCCTTGCTTTGTTTTTTTTTTCCACCAAACCATAACCCATATACTTCTTGACAATGTGGTGTGCTTGATTTGAAGTTTAAAAGATTCTGTGGTACTCACTATTGAACTTATGGTAAGGTGGTGACTACAATAAATGGGCATTAAAGCCAGGAGAAAAGGTGCAAAACCTTAATCCCAATTATTTAGGGTCGGAAAGAGGTAGAAATGTATTATTATAATGGAAGGGGGGAAATTTGAGGGTGGTTTGATTAATCGGAAAAAAGATTCTGGAAGGGGGTGATCAATGATTCCTAGTAGTTGCCTTTTTTCCTACAGATTACCATGCTATATGAGGCCTAAACTGGGGAAAACAAGTGGTTGTACTCGGTTATAACTGGCTCTTGATCTGTTACCTACCTAGAACTAATTGTGAAGTTCTGGCACCATGAAGGTGGTGGAGTTCAGGAGATGGGCGTTGCACATTCAAAATCACGCGGCCAAGCTACATGATCAAGATGATGTAGCTTAGAAGCTTCATCGACTAGAGGAATGGGTGACAACCATTCCAAGCCACACAATTTTGAACGTGCAGTCCAGATCTCCTGAACTTCACGCACTTCACGGTGTCATTAAGTCGTAACTTTAGAGGATCTGGGTGCCAGTTGTTAAAACTGGTAGACCATTACTTGTTTGTGATTATTTTAACTTTAAGAAAAGAGGATCTCAGGGCCTACTCTTAAATTCCTTTCATATTCACACAACTCATCACTTTGCCCCATTTATTTGTGGTCTATTCACATGCACCATGAATATACCAAACAAAAGGACCTCTCCATTTCTTGTACATATATATCTTAAGCCACTAGAGTTCTACGGTTTGGATCATGATGTCAACGCTATGATTGGTGTCAATGTCATGTCCTTAGTGTAGAGAATGTCAGCTCTTGGACCACATGGCCCTAATGAATTGATTATCATATAAATTCAAACCTCTTGACCTATTAGATTACACTTGGGTGTTGGAATAGCTGGCCTGGACAAGTGACAACCCAGCTGAGTTTCTATGTCTAATGTTCACCTAGAATTCCTCTAATTCTTAAAGTTCATTGTTGTCAAACATTTCTGTTTGTTTTCTTATCCCAGCTCTGCTCATCCTTTTTGTACAGACTAATAGTTTTAGATTGATCACCCATAATGAGTTGTGGTAATTTTCTATACGAGCAGCTACACAGCTTGAGCCTAACAAAATAAGGACACAAAGATGATATAATCAATTAATAGAATAACGATGGATTGTGGTAGCATCAAACCAAGTAATCCAATTTTGGACCCAATGAGTCTATTTAATTGGTATCATATAAAGAAAGTCTTTTAATTTCTTGATCATCATTGTTTGAATTATATGGTTATGATTTATTTCTGCTATGATGCCGATCAAGCATAATTTTAGTTTATAAGGGACATATGTGTGGTGGATTTATTCGAGGGAATCTCAGTCTTCATGTTTGTGGTTTTGTGGGATGTTTGTGACAACCCAAACACAACGTAAACTCAAAGTGATACGAACTGAATTAAGAAATTATCTGTTTCGAAATTCAACACAAGTTGACTGAGTACCTACCTTTTTGCTCATAATTAGGTCACATTTTTTTTTTTTGGATCTTGCTAATTAAATCACATAAACAGGGTCTTGATCCAAGGTCCACTGCCATTTTATTTTCCAATTCCATCTGCATCGGTGAGAAGACTATCAACAACGAAGACTGCTTTGCACTGAAGCTTGAAGCTGAGTCCTCAACACTGAGAGCAAGAAGCAGCAGCAATGCTGAGATACTGAGACACACTGTTTGGGGCTACTTCAGTCAAAGAACAGGCCTCTTGGTGAAACTTGAAGACACTCACCTCATTAATATCAAAGTCCCTGGAAATAACAGTGTCTTCTGGGAGACGACCATGGAGTCATTAATACAGGATTATCGGATCCTCGATGGCATTAACATCGCACATGCTGGTAGTACGTCTGTTTCATTAGTGAGGTCTGGTGAGAATTCAGAAAGCCATTCCAGTACGCAAATGGAAGAGGATTGGACGATTGAAGAAGTGGACTTTAACATCAAGGGACTGTCGATGGATTGTTTCTTGCCTCCTGGGGACTTGAAGAAAGAGGAAGAGGGATGTGGTGCTGTGAACAGCAATGTTACAACGAGCAATGCCCGACTACCATTCAAGGTTAGAGCCACTTCGTCGAGGCTTGGTGTTGCAAAGGTTGTGGCTGTTGAAGAAGATGATTTGGAGGACATTGAAGGGGCAAAAGAATTGTAAATCTAGAAAATTCAATCTGTTCTCATTTTTGTAAATATAGTTCAAGGATCAAGGATCGAGTCTGAATTGATTTGCTGAGTTAATTTTTCTCATAAATTGACTTCGTGAAGGTAATGTTAATACATGTGAGGCAAATAAGCTTTCCTGTCCATAGTAACAAGTGAACAGATATATTGAGTTCTCCCTCCTTCCCTTTTCTAGCATGGATTTTTAAGAAATATATATTTTTTTTTTAGTTATAGGGTGTTCAAACTTGTAATAACTATTTCTTTGAACTCAAATATTAACTACTGTAACTCGAGCGAGTTTAGAACATGTTCCTTTAGGAACAAAGATCACTAGCTCTTAAAAACATGAGAAGTGTTGAACAAGAGGCTTTTGAATTATCAGAGGCCAGACTTACTTAATCTCTGAATCACCTATAAGGATTTTTAACCAATGTACTTGAAAATATAGTGTGAGTATTATTTGTCCAAGCCAAACTTAAGTCGGTCAGCGAATCAGATAGATAAAATCAATTGTAATCCAAATCAAAGTGGAGGTAGAAGTTTTTAATCAAATTTATATCAATCAACCAAGTATTTAAAAACTGGGGCTTGCACCGTGACGGATTCGGACTAGTTCTTGAGCCGCTGTCTGGCCCATGGTCCACAATTATTGCTGGTTACCAGATTATTGGGGCAGGTCGGGTCAAAACCAAATCGTAAGTTTTTTAATTATTAATTGTGAAATTGTACCCTAAGGGGCTGTTTGTTTTGAATATTAGATTTGGGTGGTATTAGAAATCATTTTCATTGCACTCCTATCCAATGATATATTATATCTAGTTTTAAACTATAATCCCATCGTTCTTTTTGTTTGTTTATCACAAATATTATCTGTGTAATACCTATTTAAAAAAGTCAACAATTGTAACTATGGGTGATAAAAAGACAATTATAACTTTGTAACCTTAAAAAGATAATTATACATGAGGACATTTGTGTCATTTTAGTCTCTTATACCGTCCTTTTATTTGTACCGGGAAGATAATACCACCTAGTAGGTGATATTCAATAATATCGTATACAAGACATTTAAGTCACTGTTCATGTCGGGTCGGTATTACGATATGAAAAATAGTACCAATGATAAAATGTCAAACAAACAAGGTATAAGGTGGGCCTTACGTACTATTTTCTTAATACCACCCATTTGTACCACTCTAATACTTCAAACAAACAGCCCCTAAGAATGCTAATTTATGATTTAAGTTTATAACTTACTTCTTATATAATTTATGAATTATAAACTAAAACTTATAACTAAAACATGAAAACTTGCGGGTTGGCAGGCGGGTACAGCGGGTGGAACCTTTAGTCAGCCTGCGGGCTGGAGTCAGCAGCGTGGCTCATGCCTTGGCTACTCGGGCTTTGTGGTGGGATGGCCAGTTTTCAGGTGAGGCCTTGCGTTGGGCTTATTTTACAGGATGAGCATTGGGCCGGGCCCACCAATTGACACCCTTATCTAAAATTGCTTGAATTTTTCACAGTTGTGTTCTCAAACAAAGATTTTTATCCACTCGTCCTCAAGGTGAGCCATAACTGCAAAGAAGCCATACAGAATGAGCAGATTATTGCCACAATGACATGGTTTCAAAAACAAATGGGCGAATTGGTTCAAGTTTTTGTTCCAAAAAATAAAAAAAAATTGGTGCAAGTTTGCTTAAATGGTTGCCGCAAGCTAGACAATCATGCAAGAAAATATTTAATATAATGGTTACACCACCACGTCATTGTGTCAGAATTGTATTGAATATTTATTCACCGTAAGTAGGTTTATAATTTTTGACGGTCTCTTTGAATAAATTCAGCAAAGTATCGTCCTTTATGGCAATTAAACAGAATCAGAATAAAAGCGTCACCAAGTGTTCGTGAGCCTAGAACGTTCTGGAGTCAGAACCCTCTGGAAATCCAAAACTCCTTATAACGACCGCCCCGCCCAAAACCTCCCTCATTGTCAAAATACTCGGAAAACAAATTGACTTATTTTTCAACAATTTTCTCTAATTTTCTACTCAGCCAAACACTCCCTAAATGTCTCTGATCCCAAACTTCTTCGGCCGTCGACCCAACACCTTCGACCCTTTCCCTCTCGACGTGTTCGATTCGTTCGAGAACTGGCCATTCCGTTCTGTCTCCAACTTCCCCTCCTCCTTTTCTGAAACGTCGTCGTTCGCGCACGCGAACATCGACTGGAAGGAGACTCCGACGGCGCACGTGATCAAGGCCGACTTGCCGGGGCTGAAGAAAGAGGAGGTGAAAGTGGAGGTAGAGGACGATAGGGTTTTACAGATCAGTGGAGAGAGAAGGAAGGATTTGGAAGAGAAGGGAGACACGTGGCACCGCGTGGAGAGGAGTTCTGGAAAGTTCGTTAGGAAGTTCAGGCTTCCGGAGAATGCGAAGGTGGAGCAGATCAAGGCGGCTATGGAGAATGGGGTATTGACTGTTACTGTGCCCAAAGAGGAGGTCAAGAAGCCTGACGTCAAATCGATTGAGATCTCTGGTTGATTGATCTACTAATTTCCTGGTATTATTAAGTCTTCTGTTTGCGTTTCTCTGCTAGTTGCGTGTGTTAGGGTTAGGTTTTGGTGGTGTTCTTCATCTTGTAAGTGTTTACACCTTGCTATGTGAGTGGATGATTTGGTGGGTTTTGATCTGGAAATCATTTGGGTGTATTTTGATATGTAAATGCTTAACGGGTATATAATAGATGTTACGATTTTGGGTACTGAACTTGATTTTCGAGTGAACTTTCTTGGTGATATTTTCTTCAATTTCTGAATGTTGGTCGGGAATGTTGAATGTGGATGTTAGGTTTTTTAGTTTAAATGTTAAATGATGTAGACCGCATAATTGATAATTGGCTTAGATATTGAACGATGAGCTTGAGTTGGAAGCTGGAACATTCAGGACATTGCACTATGAATTCTGTTCTTTGGATGTGGTTGAAAATTCAGGACATTTTGTCATTATTGAATTGATCGATCGTGCGTCCTTACAAATACTTGTGTTTATAAATTAAATTCAACTAATATTATTCTTAAATTTTCCGTTGTTGTCGGACATCCAAACCGGTTCGATGAACCATCATCGGTTGCCCAAAATGTGTGAACAATAAGAATAATGCTGTGAATATCAAACTTTTTGAGAGATATTAAATGATGTGGGATAATGAAAGTCATCAGGCTGATTTGTGAAAATTAGAGGGATTCACTAATCAACCCGATCACCTACATTAATTTGGTATGAGAAAATTTTAATAAAAGATGTGGTAAATGTAACATTGTTTGAAAAATAAACGGTTGGTAGAAATCTAATAAATCAAGCTAGACTTAGATTAATCTCACTTAAAGATTGGACAATTCCTTGATTTGTGTCTGTTATTCTTATGCAACCTTCTTTATATTCGTAGCAATTCATCTTAATATGTTTGCAATTTCAACATCTGAAACCGAGACGGTCTAATTTTTCTACTGGAGACATTCGAGTAACATGAACAGTACACGTGAAAGATGAATTACCCGATATTCCTCGGTGCAAAATGTGGATGGAAAATCTGCTTTATGGTTTTTCAGTGATGGTCGTAATTTGCTGCCTAATGAGAAATTGCAATGTAATTGCAGAGATGCCACTAAAATAAGGATTGCTTCATTGGAAAGCTCAGGTACAAGCACGGCATTCCATTCAATTTTTTTTTTGATTCACTAGCTAGTACTCCTTTGAGGAAAAAGATTATACTTTATTCCCCAGAACTATTACCCTAATCACTAATTATTGTTCTTATTTCACTTTACCCTAATTATTGTTCTTATTTCATTTTCTTAACTATTACCCTAATCACTAATTATTAAATAAAATATTAATTTTATTTAATATCACTTCAATAAATAATAACAATTTTGAAAATCTTTAAGAGGGAAAAAAAATCCCATAAAACTTACCATTATTAACTAATATTACTTTATTTTCCCTCTTTTGCATCGGCTACAGAAAAAAAAAAAATTTTAGAACTTAAATAAAGTTATAGTTGAGGGTATAAAATAAAATAAAAATAATAATTTAAAAAAATTGTAATTTACCAAAAACAAATATTTAATCCACACTTTGGATTTGGATTCCTTGAGATTAAAGTGTCAAAGATGGTATATGAAAAGACTACTCTTTCAAACTCTAAACCACATCACTCTAAACCAAGTCACAAATATTTTATGGGTAATGTTAGATTAATTTAAAAATTAGACTTAATAATCTCAACTATTGAATAGGTAGTGGATCCCAATAAATATTGGGACTTACAGTGAAATCAATAGTTGATATTATCAAGTTTAATTTTTAAATTTATTTTTTAAATCCACGTAATATTACTCATATTTAATGCATTTCTACGAAAAGAAATAGATACAAATATTCAATTTTCAATTGCATTCCACTAATAATTGAATACACATCACACCACTTACACACTGTCACGGTGACATTACATACCGAATTAAGGGACTCCACACACTCCCATTCGCGATCAATCCATGCAAACCCATCCATGAAAACATGTAGCCCGAGATGTCAATTGCCTTGACGTCTGGTTTCTTCTTGGGCAGTTTTGGAACTGTCACAGTAAGCACACCATTCTCCATACTAGCCTTGATTTGATCCACCTTCACATTCTCCGGCAGCCTGAACCGCCGGAGGAACTTCCCACTGCTCCTCTCCACGCGGTGCCACTTGTCGTTCTTCTCCTCCAGCTCTTTGTTTCTCTCTCCACTAATCTGTAAAACTCTCCCCTCTTCCACCTCCACTTTCACCTCTTCCTTCTTCAGTCCCGGCAAATCGGCCTCCGGCGTCTCCTTCCAATCAATGCGAGTGTTGGCGAACGCAGAGGTCTCACGAGCTGAAGAGGGAAGGTCAGAGAGGGTGGTCGAGGAGGGAAAGCCCTCAAATGGATCCCAAATGTCAAGAGAGAATGGATCAAAGACGTTGCTCCGGCGACCACCGAAAATGCTCGGAATAAGCGCCATTTTTTATGGGTATGCTTGAATGGAGAGTTTGGGATGAAAACTTAATTGTTTATTTTCAATAAATAGAAAAATTAATCCAAACCATATTAAATATTTTCAAATGACTAAAATGCAATTTATTATCCAAAATAGTAGGACATTTTAATAATATTGCATGAATCACTAGCACACGTCATGTCAATTTAAAATATGTTGTTTTAATACAAGTGTAAATTTTTTTTGAAAATTTCTTGTACAAGGAAACAAATGGGTGAGCAACAATTTTTTAAGATCTTAAAATTTTAAAATGTAATGAGACAAAACACCACAGAATAATTATTATTTTTTAATATAACCCAAACCATTTTATTCAAAATTGAGGTACACTGAATATTTTCACACACTTTGCGTTGAAATCATGAGCTTCCATTCTAAAAGAGAGTTATGTGCTAATTTTTTAATAATGAGGGGAAAAAAGTGCAAATAAACCAAACAACTACCTTAGTAAGTGGATTTTAAGTTGGTTAAAATCCTCATCTTTTCATGGTTCGCCTTATGCATCAGATAGGGACAAAGACAAATACAGAGAGAGAGAACAAATGGGTATACATAGAAGCTACTTCCATGGCCAAATCGAGCACTTCAATGGACAAATTTGGTCCATCAATAGTTCGAGCATCACCATCGTCCATCAGCAGATCGAGCACTTCCAAGGTCAGATCTGCTACTTCCATGGAGAAAGGGGACCAGTGTGAAAGTGAAAGGTAAGGAGAATAGAGGTAAAAATGCTTGGAGGGTATTTTACTGTAGAGGGTATTTTAGATGTTAGCCATTTAATCCTACTTCTCAATTCAACAATCCCTCACAGTAGAAGGGATTGTTGAATCACCTGCAGATGGGATTCTTGGCTTTATAACCTACGGTCGAGTTTTTCAATCCCACGAGGAGCCCTTTTTAATTTTTCCAACCAAATCAAGAATAAGTGAGCCATTTCACTATTTTAATCCAATCCCACCTTTAATCCCTTCAATCCTGTCAAACAAAGGAATAATATGACTCTGGTACTTTCGCGGGTCTTCTGAGCAAAATTATCTGTGACGTCAAATGGAAAGAAGATGATTCTCCAACCTTCTACAACCTTCGTGAACCCACTCCTCCTTCTGTCTCTTTAAATAGGGATAATTTTAGGGATAATGTTATTTAGACGAATTAGATAGATTAAAAATATTTAACTTCAATAAATGCACGACCAAAAGTCTGAAATAAATGGTGAAGATGAATTCATATAGTCGACTCCAAATATTTGAAATTAATGCTTGATGTTGTTGGTTATGTGGTTGGTTATATGGATTAGATCATAATTTACTCATCTAATTTTGTAACTTAATGTGTTTTCGTTGTTGAATTGGTAATGGATCTCATTTAACATTAAGACTCGTTATTAATTCAATAATTTTAAAAAATTATTTAATTTTTCAATAATGTTATTTGGACCTAGACATAATTTAGAGGTGTGCAAAAATTCAAAAATCTGACACCGGCTTCGCCTTGGTCGAAGTTGGAGTCAGAGAAAATTTGTAGACTCTAGTCGAAGTCGGAGTGAAACAAGTTGGAGTTGGAGTCAAAGAAAAATTGTAGACTTTGATCGGAGTTAGCGTCTGAATCAAAAGGCCTATCCAGAAAAATTCCGACTTCGATTTTTATTAATTAATAATTTTATATAAATTGTAAAAATATTATATAGATATAAATATAAAATATTAAAACATAAACACATCAAAAAAATTCATCTAATTCTAACCCATATTAAATTATAAATTATCTGATTACATATATAAATATAAGACCACCCCCAACCATAAATTCTAATATATCTCTCTTCTCTTCCCGCCTTCTTTGCGTCTCCACAGACAACAATTATCGCTTGCCTCCACTGTTCCACAAGAATCACAACTCCACAGTCTGTCTCTCTCTCTCTCTCCCCACTGTTAGTAGCTTCGATCCACTGCTTGCCCCATCAGGCCACGACCATCGCCTACTTCGATGAGGTAAACTTCGATCTAGTAATTAAATTTGAGAAAATCTGTAACACTCCAGTTTCCCGGATTCTTTGCTTGATTAAATCAATCGATCGCAATAAATCATAAATAAATCTTCAAATACAAGACCAAAGTTCTAATTGTCTTAATAAATTTATAATCACAATTTTGATCTCCAAATAACAATAAACATAATCTTCTCAATATAAAAACAAATCTGTTCAAATTATATATTACCATAATAAACCCACAAAATTATAAATCATATCAAGACTTGTCTACCTTCGATTCCTCAAATATCAACTTTGGTCATTCTCTCCGAGATTATCATCCTGAAAAGAATAATTAAAGTGGAGAAGTATTCAATATGACAATAAACCACTACAAGAAAAAAAGGTTTTTATGATGGTAAAGTGCTGTCATAAAAAGTTTATTTGCCGTCACAAATATTTTTTGTGGAGGTATTGCCTCGCTATAATAAGTGTGGTCTCAAAATATTTTTACGACAGCAACGGTCTGTCTTAAATAATATTTACGGCGACAAGATTCTGTCGTAAATAAATTGTCACAAAAAATTCGATACTTTTGTTTTTATCATGGTGGCAAAAGTGCTGCCTCAAATACCATATTTGACTATTGTAAAAAATAGAAGATATATTTATGACAGCAATGATGCTGTCACAAAAAAAAAACATATATTTTTTAAATTATTATGGACTGTTCGTAACCAATATTATATACCCTGTGCATATATACATTCCATACAATTTTTTTTTGGTGGGGAACGGGAGAAGGAGACTTGAACCCTTTACCTCAAGAAGATAAAACTTTCACAATGTAAGGAGTATAATTAGACCAAATACCCATTCNAACCAATATTATATACCCTGTGCATATATACATTCCATACAATTTTTTTTTGGTGGGGAACGGGAGAAGGAGACTTGAACCCTTCACCTCAAGAAGATAAAACTTTTACAATGTAAGGAGTACAATTAGACCAAATACCCATTCATATCTATACAACTACCCAATTTAATATATAGATAAACACAAAAGTAAATATAATTAACATTTTCAAAAACATAGCAATATTTTTATATATAAAAAAAANTATAGATAAACACAAAAGTAAATATAATTAACATTTTCAAAAACATAGCAATATTTTCATATAAAAAAAAAAATAATCCCACGAGTNAATTAGACCAAATACCCATTCATATCTATACAACTACCCAATTTAATATATAGATAAACACAAAAGTAAATATAATTAACATTTTCAAAAACATAGCAATATTTTTATATATAAAAAAAAAATCCCACGAGTTAAATAAAATATAAAATATGTACTTTTATAAAACATAACGATCTATGAGTATAAGAAATTAATGTAAAAAAATTGAACATCTTTTTTGAACCATCTACTCTTTTAGTGTCATTTGAAAAAATTATAAAATTATTGTTAAAATACTGAAATAATATATATATATATAGGGGTGTCAGACGTGTCGGGTTGAGTCTTTTCGTGTCGGGTTTGTTTCGTGTTTGTGTCAAAAATTCCTAAACACTAACCTGACATTTTTAATAATCATGTCGAGATGTGAAAACACTAATTTGACCTGACTATTAAATGTGTTACCCGAACCTGACATGTTTGACACTTTTAATAAACAGGTCATTTTCGAGTCAACACATTACACGACATGTTAACCCGTTTAATCCAACCTGTTTAACCCACAAATTAAATTCTATTTGTTTAACACCTTTAAAAAAAATCCAAAGATTTTATTACATAAAATTCAAAGAATTACAAAAAGCAAAAGGAAACCATTTCCTAATATCCATTTCCAATTAAATGACTTTAATCCTTCAAAACATGAAACAAAAAAGAAAAATCATTCAAGCTCCCGATCTGCTCCAGCAAGGCCAGCAGGCAACTACAAGCAGACTACAAGCTTTCAATGCCTGCACAATTAACCCACATATTAGAGTTCTCCTCTCTACAAGCTATACTTTGACAAATACTTATCAAATTTCCCAAACATCTGATGTGCCATCCTCCTCATGAAAACATCCGAATTTTTCATCTCTTCACTTAAATTAAGTTGAATCAATAAAACTTCTGGAAAGTACAAATTTGAGGTAGAATACTTGGAACCAGAAAAAAAACAAGTAGTATTATAGAAAGATTCTAAAAACCTACAAATATTTTGCACTGTATCCCATTCTTCTTGAGTTGGACAATGTCTAAAATTAGAATCACTTAGTTACAAATGAGAAAATGCACGACGATAGTAAATGACACTTGCAAGCATGAGATAGGTTGAATTCCACCTAGTTGGAACATCTTGCCTCAAAGTTCTCTTCCTGTTTAAAGATGTTTGTGCAACACATTCCAAGAACTTTTTCTTCCTAACTTGAGATCCCTTTACATATTTCACACATTCCCGAATCTTTTCAACAACTTCACCTATTTCCTTCAAACCTTCTTGAACTATCAAATTCAAAATATGAGCACAACAACGGATATGAAATAAATTACCATCACACAACAATGCATCTTGCAGATTAAGTTGATTTTTAAGCAAATCAACCAACACATCATTTGCAGCTGCGTTGTCTAAACTAAGTGAAAATAGTTTTTTCTCAATATCTGAATTATTTAACAAACTATAAATCTTCTCACACAAAGCAACTCCAGTATGGGGAGGAGGCATGTAAGAGAAATTCAGAATTCTCTTTTTCAACACTCAATCTTTATCAATGTAGTGTGCAGTGAAACTCAAGTAACCGTCAATAACAATAGAAGTCCACAAGTTAGAAGTCAAACAAATCCTACCAGGCAAGTCTTGCAGTTCTCGAGAAATCCTCCCTTTCTCCATAGCATACAGTTTCATAACTTCCACCCTAGCAGTATTCCTAGAAATTTGTATGACTTGGGGACATAAGTAGGTGAAAAGACTTCTAATGCCACCATACTCAACAAATTGAAATGGAAGTTCATGTCTAACAATTGCACAAATCAATAACTTTTTAAATTTCCCTGCATCAAATTTAAAAGGCCTAGATCCCAAAGCACCATTGGATTGGGTTATAAGTAGTTGACCAATATCATTGGTGGTTCGCTTCAAACAAGTTGCAGTGTGTCGCTTGAAATTCCCAGTGCCGTGCTTACTATCAATATTATAAACTTGCTTACATTTCTTACTTTCGCATCTCAGCAATCCTTCTGGACTTGGTTCTTTAAGAAAAGTATAGTTTCCCCATACTTTTGAGGTGAACCTTCGTTGACGTTTATTTGTTGGTTTATCAACACCATCCAGTTCTAGCCTATCTTGAATATCAGAAGCATGATTTGATTCAGCCATGGCAACATCATCAGCTACAGGGGCAGGTCCATCAATGTGTTCGTCATTCAATGGAAGTGAATTCATTTGTTCCCAACACAAATGCCAAAAAAAAAAATATGTAAGCAAAATATATAACACACATACAATGCAGTACATTTTTGGTCAAAATACAAAAAAAAAAAAATTCACAAACTTCCAATACAACTTATAAAGGTAAGTAAAGAAAAATGTAAGCAAGTTGCAATAAATCTTCCTGTTGTGTGTTGTGTAATGCGCAGAAAATGAGGGCTGTCATGTTGGGTATGGTTTCTTTAATCTACATCAGTTGCCTATGAGATCTTTTAATAGAACTGTTGAAGCTGAATGACACTAGAGGGACAGACCTGAAGGGCATTTTGTGAGAGTAAGAATGATTGGACCATCTAGATATGTAGATAACTTGAGGCCTGAAGCATTTTATAGAGTACTTCGATTTGTCTTTAACTCTTTTTTGATGGGTTGATGGTCATCATGTTGTAATAAATGATTTGTGTTATGCCTATCCTCTTATTTTTGTCTGCCCTCGCTCTTCACAAAATTAAAAACAACCCAACACAAATAAAAAGCATGGGGAAATATTACACAGTTTGTGGCCAAGGGAATGTATGAGTGCTGTGTGCTGTAATCCGAATCTAACTGTTCTACACTTCGATTGAGTCGCAGCGGGCAGAGAGAGGGAGAGAACACAACAACATAGAGAGAGAGGGACAAACCTTTTCGGTTGAGCAATAATGTAGGCATGAATGACAAGAATGATGAGGGCATTTGAACAGTGAGCCCTCCTCTCCTCCTCCGGACAATGTGACTAGCGGCGGGTGACAGTGAAAAAAGGAAAAAAAGGGAAAGGTGGTGGTGGGTTAGGATTATGTTTTTTTCTTTGTTGCTTTTATATATTTGGATAAATGGGTTAAACAGGTAAGAAACGGGTAGGTCGGGTTCGGGTCGAATTATATTAACCTGTTTAAAATATACGGGTTAAACATGTCAAAATCAAGTTGACCTGATTTTGACATGAACCCAACTTACTTTTTTTTTCGTGTTGACCCATTTAATTTCGTGTTCAACCCATTTATTTCGTGTTTGGTTCGTGGCGTGTTAACGTGTTGTGTCAAAAATTGACAGCTTTATATATATATATACAATAAAGAACTAAAAGAAGTTAAAATATATATCAACAGAGGGCCACGCAATATTTTTCTGAACGGTTTGTCCAATAATGTAAATAGTATATAAACGAGTCATATCTTATACATTTCTTCTAACTGTTTTCACCAATACCTGATTCGTTTATAATCGTATTGTGACGGGTCCACTAATTTACTAAACATGTGGCTTAAGGAAGATTCAAACCCACTAATTTTATGTCGTGTTAACAGATCGTGTCATATTTTGGCACCCATAGTTTTGATATAAAAACTTGAGTTTGTAGAGTTTAATTTTTTTTCTTTAAACTATAAATTATCTTTTGATGTTAAACAACGTAAATTTATAAAATATTACTTGTAACATGAAAAATAGTTGTTGTTACTACAAATTTTTTTTTAGAGTTTTTCTTCTTTAGGCTATAAAATATTTTTTAATCAAAAACAACATTTTAATATTTTATGAAATATTATTTACGATGAAAAAAGTAGCTGTCATAAATATAAAAAATTCTTTTGAATTTATAAAATATTATTTAAGACATGAAAAACAGATGTCTTAAATACAAAAATTTCTTTTGAGTTTATGACATTATTTACGACAGAAAAAATAATTGCCACAAATATTAATACAAACACGTTTTTTGTGACGGCAAACACAATCGTCACAAAAAAATTGTCTCAAATACGTCTTTTATGACATTAAACATAGCCGCCGTAAAAAATTTGTCACAAAAGACCCTTATTCTTGTAGTGAACAATATGCTCAACGAGTAAAATATGAATGATCAAATACTAAATAATTCATATCATAATCAAGAATCACATTTGACAAGTCACATAGCTCAATTTCTATCAAATATAGCTTCACACTCAATTTTTCTTGGTGACATAACAAATAATACTTGGACATTTAAATTTTATACTTATATCGAACTATTACACCCCTCAGGGTTGTAATCACAATCGCACCCTACAGGGCTATAATCATATTTCACTAAATATGTCCCAAGTATACTTCGTACATGTACCAATTAATCCTAGAGTATTTAGCCCCATGTACTGGCCGACCGATAAAATTGACAGAATTTTGTATCAATCAGAATAATTAATAAAAATACAAATTTCACATAATTAAAGAATACTCTTTGCAAAGAGATTTAAAATATAGAAGCATCTTGTATACTATCCTGGACATCAAATAACTTAAATAGATATGAAATTTGAAATATCCCAAAAAAGGTTTTTGATCAAAAGTATTCGCTATTTAATTTTTGACTCAAAATCTCATTAATTTATCTCTCTCTTTCTTTTCTTGCTCTACGTTTTGGCCATGGCTTCGTGGTTATTTATAGCCAAATTCTTGGCTTCCAACGTCACTTAGGTGACCTCATATGTTTGCATCACATGGACATTTGTCCATTGGTTTGGCCATATGTTTTATTTTGTTTTCTTTTTTTGAAATAGAGCACAAGTTAATTGACTTCTATTCTTATATTTGGACACCTATATATATGTATGTGTATTTTTTTTATATATGTAAGTGTATATAAATATATTACACATTTATTATATCATTGGAATAACATATTATTTTTAACTCAAAATATGACCTATATTATAGTTATTCGATCCGTTTTCACATAAAAAATTCATATTTGAAGTCCATTTATTTATTTGAAACTTCTAAAATTTTTTCGTAATTAAATATAATCATAATTGATGACCTAATTAAATGATTAATTTATATAAGGGCTGTCACAAAATCTATTATCCATTTTAACGAATTTGGGTGATTTTGGATTGATTAATCTTTGTGCAATGCATTTGCTTCTTTTATGACGATTTTTGGACTCAAATTTTTTTCGAAAAAACCTATTTTTTTTTCTTGGGGAACTCTGAAAACTCCAATCCGACTCCATTAATTGGAATCGTAGCGGAGGTGGAATTGCAGGCATTGTATGTCAGAGTCGGAGGCAAAAAATCATTCCGTCTAGAGTCGGAGTCGAAAATAAGAAGTTAGATTTAATTCATCGTAATTATTGGATTAATTGTGAATACTTATAGAGTCGGAGTCAGTTCGATGGTTCATTCAGTTGCCCAATATGTGTTGGACAATAAGAACAATGCTGTGAATATCAAACTTTTTGAGAGATATTAAACGACGTAGCATAATGAAAGTCGTTAGGCTAATTTGTGAAAATTAATGGGATACACTAATTAACCTAATCACCTACATTAATTTGGTATAAGAAAATTTTGATGAACGTTGAGATAAATGTACAATTATTTGAACAACAAACGGTAAAAATCAGATAACCAAAGCTGGACTTTTAGATTAATCTCTCTAAGATTGGGCAATTTCTTGATTTGTGTCTATTATTCTCATGCTAGGAGATGTCTACCTTCTATCCATAGCAATTCATCTCAATATGTTAACAATTTCAACATCTGAAGGGAACCAAAACAGTCTAGTTTTTCTCTTGTAGACATTCGAGTAACATGTACAATAAATGTCAAAATGAATTACCCGATTTTTCTCGGTGCAACAATTTTCTGCCTAATGAGAAATTGCAATGTGATTGCAAAAGGCGCCCCTAAAATAAGGATTGGTTGATTGAAAAGCTTAGGCAAAAGTATGGCATTCCATTCAATTTTTTTTATTCACTAGCTAGTAGTCCTTGATATAAAAATAGAGTAAATTATATTTTACTCTCTTGAACAAATAACCTAACTGTTATTCTTATTTCACTTTACACTCTTAATTATAAAATTTCTCACATTACATTTTAAAATATAAATTTTATTTCACATTAATAAATAACGGCAAACTTTAAAATCTTTCAAAAAAAAAAGAGAAAAACCCCAAAAAACTTTCCACTATGTGCTTAAATATCACTTTATTTTACCTCTTCTGCAATCAAATAGCTGAAAAAGAAGATTGATCAAAAGAAAAAAAAATATTTGGAGCTTAAGTCATGAATAATTATTTTTCTTATTTTTGACGTATGCACATGTGCAATAAATAATTATTTATTGACAATATAAATCAGTCAACTGTAAATTTATTGTTAAAAAATTAACATTCACCATCAATTAGAATAATATGAATACGCCACAAAATAATAATTGCTACACTCCACGCTTTGTGTTCATGATTGATTTTGGGTTTGAATTCCTTGAGATTAAGGTGTGAAGATAGTGATTTGGTTCCTTTATAAATAAAAAGAAAGCTCTAAACCACATCACATACATATATATTAAAAGAAGTACATATAGTTTACAATACCAAACCACTAATTTAATGCATATAGCACCACTTACAAAAACATTAGACATACTGTGACATTACATATTGAATTAAGAGACTCCACAAACACGTATTGACCAATCCATAAAAACATTTAGCCTGAGATGTCAATAGCCATGACGTCTGGTTTCTTCTCGGGCTCTTTTGGAACTGTCACAGTAAGCACACCATTCTCCATACTAGCCTTGATCTGATCCACCTTTGCACTCTCCGGCAGCCTGAACCGCCGGAGGAACTTCCCACTGCTCCTCTCCACGCGGTGCCACTTGTCGTTCTTCTCCTCCAGCTCTTTGTTTCTCTCTCCGCTAATCTGTAAAACTCTCCCCTCTTCCACTTCCACTTTCACCTCTTCTTTCTTCAGTCCCGGCAAATCGGCGTTGAAAATGTGAGCGTCCGGCGTCTCCTTCCAATCAATGCGAGTGTTGGCGAACGCAGAGGTCTCACAAGCTGCAGAGGGAAGGTCAGAGAGGGTGGTCGAGGAGGGAAAGCCCTCAAATGGATCCCAAATGTCAAGAGAGAATGGATCAAAGACGTTGCTCCGGCGACCACCGAAAATGCTCGGAATAAGCGCCATTTTTTATGGGTATGCTTGA